AAGTAAAAACAATAAAATCGGTATGGCGCTTACCTTGGGAATGTACGTTGAAAACATGTGGAGTGAAGGTAACCATGTTGTAACTTTTTATTTAGCAACCCGCTATAAAATGCTCTAAATATGCATACACATGTTGCATGCACAGACATATGTTGAACAGTTTCAGATGTTATATAACCAGTTCTTCTCCCTTACACAATGATGCAAACAAGAACATGATTATTAGAAACATCACAAGCGGTAAGCTGATTTGAAGGGCCGTTGCTCGTGACTACGGTAGCCCGAGACATTGCTAAATAAATTAAATTCAGTGAGTGGCACCTATCTATAAGTCATGTTAACCCTGTGTGACGGCTGCGTCATAGGAGTACATAGGTAATCTTTATAAAATAGAATTGCCACCAGTGCCACCAAGATTGATATTTCATGAACATTAAGGTTTCTTTGAAAAGTAGTCCTGAGAATTGGCATAGCTCTGTCGTAGGATACTTGGTTGCCACGCAGAATGCTGATGTTCAATTCTTTCTGGGACCCTGACATTTATTCTTTTCAGTCATCGAGTCAACGCTGCCTATGTCAGCTTCTTCTTAAAGCTCAGTGTGTGTTTTCGCTGTTTTGGGGTAGATGCCAAGTGTCAATTCTCTGTGGCACATACCCGCATACCAGTGGCACATACACATCTATGTGTATGTCACTATCTGGCGGGAAGGGTCTGACGACGTACCTGACTGAATTGGGACAACAGCAGCTGATTCTACATATGCTGCACGAACGATACAAACACCACGTTAAACGTTATACGGATGATTCCACAAATGTTAGCGGATCTGCAGGAGCTGTGATATTCCCAGGAAAAGCCGAAACCATTCGATTCGGAACGTCTCACAAAACAATATCGACAGCCGCCGAGCTCGCGGCACTCTGCTGTGCACTCCACAAGATTGATCAAGAAGCACCTCAAAAATGGTGCATTTTCACCGATTCGAGAACAGCTCTGTACTGTATTCGAACTGACTACGTCGTGGACCTCAAGACCGATTGGTGCTGGAAACAAGACAATCGTATCAGCAAGTACTTCAGAAAGGACATGATGTAACTTTTTGATGGTTACCAGGCCACGGCATACTTATCGATAACGAGCATGCCGACGCTGCAGCAAAGATCGCTCACGAAAATGGAATGATGGAGAAGCGACGCAGCAGCAAAGGTTCATACGCTCGCAAATGATGTCACCAGGTCTCTGTGGAACACGCCCGGATTTCTACACACCCGTCTTCACCGTCTGAACCCACAGCAAGGTCTTTCCATTCCATCTGGGTTATTCATATCTGAGACAACCGTTCTCTGTCGCATGTGGCTCGGGGTGTCTTTTACGAACGTCTTTGCATGCCGCATCAGATGTGCCGACAGTTCTGTGTATGGTCATTAACCATCGAATATTTTTGTGTCAGTGCCCTCAGTACAACTGTCAGAGACAGTCCCTGTCAGCAGTGTTTGCACGCCTCGACGACCAGCCGCTTTCTGAAAAACAAATTTTGAGATACCGGAAAGATCGAGCTTCACGCCAAAAAGTGACGAAGGCCCTCCTGAAGTTTCTGCGATCGACATGCCTCGTCAAGCGTTTGTGATGTTTTAGTGTGTTTGTGTGTTTTTCGCTTCCGTCCCACTCTCTTTCTCTCATTCCCTTTTCCTCACTTTTCTGTCTTCCATTTCCCTTTCCCCAGTGCAGAGTAGCAAACCAGACACTTGCTTTCTGGTTAACCTCTCTGCATTTCTTCGTACAATATATCGCTCTTTCTCTCTCGAGTAGAGCGTCGTAGTCGTCACGTAAAGTATAGATAGATAGATATACAGATAGATAGATAGATAGATAGATAGATAGATAGATAGATAGATAGATAGATAGATAGATAGATAGATAGATAGATAGATAGATAGATGATAGATAGATAGATAGATAGATAGATAGATAGATAGATAGATAGATAGATAATAGATAGATAGATAGATAGACAGACAGACAGACAGACAGACAGACAGACAGACAGACAGACGACAGACAGACAGACAGACAGACAGACAGACAGACAGACAGACAGACAGACAGACAGACAGAAGATAGATATAGATAGATAGATGATAGATAGATAGATAGATAGATAGATAGATAGATAGATAGATAGATAGATATAGATAGATATAGATATATAGATAGATAGATAGATAGATAGATAGATAGATAGTAGATAGATAGATAGATAGATAGATAGATAGATAATGATAGATGATAGATAGATAGATAGATAGATATATAGATAGCGGATGGGCGGACGGACAGACGCACGGATGGATGGATAAGTGGGTTGGTGGGTGGGTGGATGGATGGATGAATGGATGAATGAATGGACGGATGGATCCCAAAAGGGCTTCCCACTGGTTATTCAGCGCTGGATTCCGTGAACTTTGTGGTTGTCTCACGAACGGGATCACCTTCACTGGACAAGAACTACTCGTTTGTGATATTGTGGCCGATGTATATCATTATAGGCAAGTACCTACTAGGCCAACAATCAGTCTTGTAACAACCAGAGAGCTGTTTTTTTAGAGCAACTTGGAAATTCATACTTGGAAAGATAGCGCCAGTGGACACGTATGAAGAGAAGGCAAGAGACACACGGACAAAGTCGCCTTTTTTCTCCTACGAAAGCGTTTTCATATGTGGGTCATTTTGCCTTCCTTTCGTCCTTGTCAGCGCTACATTTCCAAGTTGTTGTTAAAGTTCACAATTTTCAATGAAGTCCCTCCAACTGTCGTTTTCATCACATCCGATCTCAGCCACAACCGCCGCAATATGTCACTCTCATCGCCCTATGACACTTTGTACACGCAGCGTTGTAAGTGTAGGATGGCTTGGTTCACACGTCATACCATAGCCCGCCAAGTATTTGAGCCACACAACTGTATCAAGTTAATTTTCATATCCTGTACGGAAGCGAAAAATTTTCTACAATAAACTTAAAATGAATAAAAGTCACAACAATATTTTTTTTTCCTCTCTGCGGCCCTAGCATTCACCCGGACGGAGCACTCTTCAGGTTTTTATAGTCATCGAAGAACATGCTTAAGCTATCGAACACGGTTATGTTTACACCTGCTTGATCCTCTATAGGTGGTTGCCCCGCCACGGTGGTCTAGTGGTTAAAGTACTCGGCTGCTGACCCGCAGGTCGCGGGATCAAATCCCGGCTGTGGCGGCTGCATTTCCGTTGGAGGCGGAAATGTTGTAGGCCCGTGTACTCAGATTTGGGTGCACGTTAAAGAACCCCAGGTGGTCGAAATTTCCGGAGCCCTCCACTACGGCGTCTCTCATAATCATGTAGTGGTTTTGGCACGTTAAACCCCACAAATCAATCAATCAATCAATCCTCTATAGGTGGTTCTGGTCTTTAGCTACAGAAGTAGCGGCTTAAAACACATCAAACAAGCGTCATACGTGTTTGGTTAAGCTGATTTTCACCTAAATAAACAAGGGTCGTCGGTTACCATGTATCAATCAAGGTGACTTTTGAAAATTTTCTTGAGAAATACAAAGTAGGATTCAAACGCACGCCGTATAAAACAGTTAGGAAAATTTCCACTACCTGGCTATCCTTTGACGCGCTGTTGAAACTAACTACACAAGCCTCTAAAATTTTCACCGGCACCGCAAATACCCCCGCCTTGGCAACAATCCAACCCACAAAACTTGAGTCATCAGCGGAGCCCTTCAATCATTGCATTAGCGTGGTGGCTTTTTTATTGCACAACATTCACATTAAGATGGCTAGAGTTATGCGTCGATTTTTTTTAGTGGCGAAGTTCCTTATGGCATGGCTTGTGGGTCCCTCGTAGTGCGTAACCACCAGTGGCACAAACTCGAAATAGGTATAACATTTCACCTCCAAGGTGGTGCCGGTGAGGGACTTCTTCTGTGCGTTGTTTAACAATAAAAAATAGTGCTCAATGTACATGCCAATGGCTGCTAATAGGCAATGAGAGAGGAGCATTCGGCTTTTAGTCAACGCGCACGCTGCGATCACCATTAGCAGCCATTGGCATGAACATTGAGGGCTACCGGACAAGAAAGGGCTGCTACATTATCTCGCTGGGTGTAACCTGCTTAGTTTTAGAAAGGTTTAGCGAGCGTTGTGCCGCAAGGCCATGAATACAATGAACTAGTATATACCATGAATGAATTCGAGGTGGTTAAATGGGGGAAGCAGATACGAAGCGCAAGCCCTAAGAAAGTGTGCGTGTGCCACCTCTCGTTTAGTCCTTGGAATGTCCACTGAGTGGCGGTGCTTCTATATGGGAATATATGATAAAAATGCGAGATGGTGGGACTTGGAGTGTTGAATAGATGGACGAACGGACACACAGACACATGCATGGATGGACGCATGAACGGACGCAGGGGCGGATGCATGAACGAACGCAGGGACGGGCGCATGAACAGACGCATGGACGGTCACACAGACGGACGCATGGACGGACGAATGCTTTGCCGCACTCTCCATCATTCACTCGGTGGATATGCCGCCATTTTTTCTTAAAAGCTTCTCTATATTGCTGAATACTTCGCCCGCAAAGCCCATAAGCCTTATTGTTGTTCATAATAGAATTACGATGATTAGATATCTCTAGCGATTCTCGCTAAACATTGTGCGCATTTGCAAACTGTCAGCAGTGTAAGGATGCACCATTGTTCAAGGGAATCCGTGTGTTATTGCTATTCGTAACAAATTGTTCCGTTGGTATGGCATTCAAACTGTTCTTTGTTTCTAAAACATTTCTCAAAACAGCCATTCGCAATCACTCTCTAGAACAACAGGTCCAAGAAATTGTTAAGAAGTAGAAATTTGTTTTAAGCACCGTATGCTTGATATAAAGACGGAAACATTGTGCTGATACCCGTTTATTTCTCGCCTTCACAGTTCGCATCGGCAGTACTATAATATAACACGGAACGTACTCTTCGTAGTTCTACTTACCACAAATTATAATTTTCAATACAGTTTTACAATATTCATAAAGGAAAATGAATTGAAACAGGTAAGGTGCACGTTTTTTTCTAAATCTTTTGCTTCACTTGGTCAATAGGTTTATGAACACACTAAAGGCCACTAAGATTCAGCATATTAATAACAAAATTAGTAAAATACACTGCTTACGAACCTCAGTGAAAGCCTGCGGTGAAGTGGAGTCGAGCGGTTCAATGCATAACTTTTAATATTGTAGCGAGAAAATGCAATATGCAGTTAGGTAGAAAGCTATTTTTCACTTACACATTATATACAAATAATCTCATTTCTAGCCATCCCAAAACCAAGTACTGCGTAAAAGTATCCATATAAGCTTTTTTGGGTCGGCTTACTGTACTCTGCAATCTAATGTCCTTGAAATACGGCTGCCACTGTTGTACAGCATGCGTAGTGGGCTTTTTGAAATGGTCTTTCAGTTTTAACAACATATCTAAAAGTATTCATGCATGGTCGTCACCTCGAATGGAACTGTGCCGGTGTAGCCCTATGATTGCAGAGAAGTTTTATTCCCACTGCCCGCTTCTGGAGTATTGACTTGTTGTTTACACCCTCAAAAATGGGAACATCTTGAATAACAGAGTTTGATGACTTCTCATATGACACTTTTTTGGTTGTCTAGTGTGTTCTTTTAGAAATTTCAAATCATTTTACAATGCCACTGGCTAAGGTCACATTGTTCCATACTTATATAGCAAAACATGAAGTGACTTAAGAGGTCAAGACTCAGTTGACTCTTTTATGTTTCTCAAGACGTTCTGGTGCATTTTCATGTGATGCAAAAACAGAGCGCGCCCGCCCATAATGACATGTCGTTAAGATAAATTGCTTAGAGGTATACAATTATGAACGATAAGGACCCTCAGGCACTATATCGCATTGTGCCCACCATTATAGATAACTTTCTAATAAAGATATGGTTACTTTGCAGGATAACAATACAGTTTTTTCTGTCATAATATTTGATGATTATTACTTGTATGATGTAGCATATTGTTGATTATACGTGAAATTGGGCTGCGCCGTAGGTTAAATTTGTGTCTCATGGGGCATCTGTGGTGTTGGCATTGTTAATCATCGCATGCAACCTGAACGCATCCAGCATGCAAGAACGAGACCATCGCTGTCAATGCACACAAGAAGGAGAATTTAAGTGCTCCTTTCACTGTGCTACAGTGTGAATGAAACCATAAACACAGACATGGCAAGGGAAGTGTATAGAATGTTAATTCTAATAATAATGCTATAAATGACAAGAAATAGAAGTGGTTCTCAATTGCCTCATGAGCCCCTGTACCACAAGAGGGTGCAGGGATCGCACGACTGAACGAAAACACAAAGCATGTGCTGAGTTGCGGGAGAATTGAATTCTCCGTAGCTCTTCTTCGCCTGCGGAAATGGCAATGGTATCCTTCCGTTCGAATGGTGTTTTACTAAACGCAGACATTTAGCTAGATGCAGGCGTTCAGCTGGACCGAGGAAACAGATAGACGTGGAGGTTTATGCGTGCGTCTTTGAGCGTCACAATTATGCTGGCTGCACGACTCAACAGACAGAAGTATCATTTTTAACTGAATAATGTGCGCGCTTGGTATTAGGGTTAACTAATACCAAACCAGCCCAATTATCCACGCTATGCTACACAGAAGTACGTCGGCTAAGTACTTATAATCCGCCGATCGTAGTGTGCCCTACGTACACATGCACAGCGCATACAGCCTTTGACACGACTGAAATTCACACAGCGGCTTCCCGAGGGCAAAAGATTTTGCATAATATGCTCATTGTCAATTCAGCCGAAATGTTAGCTATCACTAATCATGGCGCTCAAAAGCGTACAGGTGGCATGTCACGTCTTATTTTTAAAGGTCAGACCCTTTTTGTCGAGAATTTTGATGTCGGAATCTGTGATAACGCCTGTGGCCATCAAAATTCGGAATGTGCCACGCACAACGAGTAACTCTTGCTACTGACTGCTGGTGCTGTAAAAATTGAAGCAGCTGTTAGTTCAACAGAGAAGTGTGTGCCGCAGAAATTATGCGGCCTATAAGAAAGCTCGCAGAATCTTAAACGCGAATGTCTCACAGAAATCGGGTAAGTGTTACTGCATACAACTTGCAATAAAATAGCTAATTCCCCAGGTTGGGTGTGAGCCAAAAGTTTAGAATCTACATCTACACCTACAATTGGCATGCAAGTTACGACCATCAGAAAACCTTCAAGTGCACCATCGTGGTCATAAAGGTATTGGCTGTATCACCACCTCAACACTTCTCAAAGAGCGTATATTAAAGAGTATCAGTAGAGCATCTCTGAAAGCCTTGCAAAACAGGTTATCTGTTGGTCTGATTACTATTCTGAAAGTGTAATATACTCTGTTATGCCAGAAGTCTCAGACATGGAGGCTGTATGGTGCAAGCTACAGTTACCCGATGGCATTGCTTTTGTCGGAGCTCTGTGCAGGCCTCCAACTAGTGATAGATTGCGCGTAGACCCTTCATTGCACTACATGCTCAGGTATGCCTCCGGTGGTAGAATTATCACAGCCAGAGATTTTAATCTTGCAGAGTTAATTTAGGGCTGTCTTAATCCGTAACCTCTACTAATAACCATAGCAGATAATAGATTTCATGTTCACTTTCACTCTTGCTGAAATTTTTGACACGCCTTCTCGTGTTGGTAGCAACAGCAGTTCAAAATAAGGCCTAATTTTCATTACTCACAACCAACGAAAATAGGTATAATATTAGAAATTCGAAGGTCGCAAGTTTGGATCCGGCTAGTTGCAAGTTAACTTTCGTTCACTTTTCTTTTATATATTTGCATTACAATTATTTCTAATAACATCTTCTATACTTCAACAGGCATCATCGTATGCTCCTTCTCATTAACGTTCCAAGCAGTACCACCACAATGGAAAGTATTCAAAGTCTATCAGATCGTGATTTAATATTCGGTAAACTACCTTCAGTTGGTCTCGCTCGTATAAAATGAGCTGAAAATGCGTTTTAGTTTGCAACAGAGCAAACGATGATCTATCATGACTTGTCTTTCTCAGGAATATGACAGTTTTTACAAACCATGTATTAATAACAGTGAAGCATTGACCCAATCTGGATGCATTTCAATGATATTATCATATATTGCACGGAAACTATCGTCCCCATGGTTTAAGAAAACTACTCTGGAACAGCATTCCTCGATAACACGAGAAACAAAAATTCATGTATAGCGACAGATTTGTAGCCTTGGCGCACAATAAGCCTTGCATCCCATAGTGATGTTTTCTCCATTGGATAAAAAAGCAGAAAAAAGGCAAGGAAGAGTTGCGGAAAACAAAATTTCCGCAATAATACCTTACATACCATTATTAAAACATTGTCGAGAAACATCTGGAGGTGCCTGAAGAGAAGGTAAAAACTAGATGTCCAATGGCAGGCATACACGAAAAACTGAAGTAAACTGTTTAACAAATACTTTCTATCCGTACTTTTTGTTAACCATAATAAAAAAGAACAATGTTAGCCAGACTTTTACGCAATGATTTGAGCATGAAAAACTATCCGGTAGCCCTACTGTCACTCAGACGGGAGGGTATTTCTGCTTATTTATTTATTTATATCGACATACTGCCAATCCCATCAGGGATTTTAGCAGGAAGGGCGTGAAACATAAAAATTCGAATAAGTACACAATAAAGACATACATCGCGATAAAGTACAGAATGAAACTAACAGAATCGGATCATTTAACAATTTCAGATCAAAGAAGGCATAAAACATTAGTGTAAAGAAAAGTTGTCAGAAGAAAATAAATGAAGCGACTTGGTTGACACATTGGTTGACATATTGGCATAGCATCAAGAAACACAACAAGAAATTACAGCAATAAGATACTACCTTACAATATGGCGAAGTATTTCAAGGAAAGGCAAATTTATACACACTGAAAACGAAATATGTTCAAGAATCAACAGAGCGATTTCTCTTCACTGGATTCAGTATTAAAATTGCTTAAAGAAAAAATATGTGGACATGATACTTCGCTCGTACAATGTTCACACGAAACCCTCATATTAAAATCAACCAGGTGATTCCGTTTGCATAATACAAAGTTCATTTTCGACAAGGGTTAGAAATTTTGCTAATTCGGTAGTGCTGGAGATACTCGGATCCAGTTTATTCCATTCATTAGTGGCTATCGGAAAGAATGAGTAACTTAAAGCAGTTTCGTGTTGAAGGAGTATTCGTTAAGTCTCAGTGGGTGTTTTGGCGTGTTGTTCTAGTTTGATTAAACGTAGATAGGCGGATACATCAATGTTTAAATGACCATGGATTAATTCATGTATGAATTTTGCACGTGATAACCTTGTTCTATTCATTAGAGTAAGTAATCCAGCTTTTTTAATTAGTTTAGTCGGAGAATCTGTATGTCTGTACTTGTTGTAAATGAACCTCATAGCTTTACTTTGTATTCCTTCCAGTTTGCGTGATTGCTGCTTTGTGAATGGTGACCAAATAATATTACCGTATTCAAGTAATGATCGCACAAGGGAAGTTATGCAAGCAGTTTTAGAGAAGGCGGGGCCCTGACGAAGCCGGTATCTGAGTGCAAACAAGCGGCCGTAGTGCAGCTGAAGTAACGTAACTTATGTGTGCGTCCATCTTAGATCTTCAGTTATAATAACTTCAAGATATTTATGCTGATTTACTCTAGTTATGGGAATGTCATTGATGGTGTAAAGAAAGTTTGACCTAGTTTTTTTTTTCGACTTACTGATAAAATTGTACACTTGTTTGCATTAAGTGACATCTGCCATTTACGGCACCAGCAGGAAACATCTTGTAAAGCACTATTTAAAGCTACATGGTCCTCCGTTGAGTTTATTTCTCGATATAGCACGCAGTCATGCGCGAATAATTTGATTTTTTCCTTAATATTGTGGGCAAATCATTAATAAAGAGAAGAAATTAAATTGGCGCCAGCACACAGCCCTGCGGAACTCCAGATGTGACGGAGGTGGTAGCAGAGGTTCATCGTTAAATTCCACATACTGTGTACGATTAGTAAGATAATTTTTGATCCAGTTAAGAACAGTAGAATTTCCTAGGTGGCCTCAAGTTTTTGAAGTAGTTCTTGTGTGATACCTTGTCGAATGCTTTGGCAAAGTCGAGGAAGATTAGATCAGTTTGTTTTGGTGTCAATACTCTGGGATACCTCATGTGTAATTCCACTAATTGGGTTATGGTTGAAAGACCTCGGCGAAAGCCATGCTGGTAGGGAGATAATATACGTTTTTCTTCTAGTAAACAGTTATTTGTTTAAGAATTATGTGCTCCAAGATTTTACAGATTGTACATGTCAGGGATATAGGTCTAAAGTTAGATATATCATTTCCGCTTCCTCCTTTATGCACAGGAACAACTTTGGCCTTTTTCCACACCACAGGTAAAGAGCACCTTGACAAAAACCTCGACAAAAAAACTGTGGTATAGATGACATTTTAATGGGTTTTGAATCACTACGCTGTGTCTTGCCGCAAATATTTTTTATCATGTCCCAGAAATAGTCGATAACTGTCGAATTTTTTTCAGATTGGGAAATCCACAAAATAATTCTAGTGGACAAATCAGGAGATAAACAATGCCCAAACGACTACCAGCCTACCTTTCTAACATGCGCAAGCGGTGAAATTATCCAGCGTATAATATTACAATATATAACTAATTATGAAGAAGATAACTAAGCAGCCTACGATCAGCGTAGAAATGAATTATTGCCTGTTATGAAGCTTGTCGAAATAATGCATGGCCTTGCATAAGATATCGACAAGACGTGGCGATTTCATACAATTTCTCTCGCTTTTTCTAAAGCGTACGACCATGTATCATACTAGGAATTGTTCTGGTGACTATGGACCTGTCACAAAATGGCCAAGGCAGTGTCACCGATTTGGCAATGGGCCTGCAACGAAAATGTATCACACATTTTATTTTTAACAGACTGCTTCCAATTTGCCTACCGTGACGGACACATTTGGTGTTATTCTCTTAGTATCTGATGTTCCCTAGGGATGTGTGTTGGCACCATATTATTTTTCTTCGTTAATGAATATTTAGCTAAGCAATGTGAAATCCAAATGAGATTGTTTGTAGATGTCTGCGTGTTCTGCCACTAAGCCAAACACCACTCAGACCAAATTAAACTTCAGAATTTCTTAAACAGTGTACGTGAATGGTGTCACGATTGGAACTTGATCGTTATCAAAGATCAGACAGTTTCGATTCCCGTCACCAAGACAGCATTTACGCCCTATTTCACTTGTGGTTCCGACAGCACTGCGTTTTGTTAACAAATACTAATATTCGAGTGTTACCTTGCATTCATATTGAACTGCACACCACACGTTCAGCATATAAAAAAAAATCATCAAGAAGCACTTTCGAAAAGACTACTTTCTGGGCAAGTTGGAGCTCTCACAGATGATGTCCGCTCGACTGTGTCGCAAGTTCATTTCGTGACAGTGTCGGCACCTAACTTTCTTCTACACTCCGCTTTACAAAATTTATTTTGCACCACAGTCGAATGTACCTAAGCAACATTAACAAGGTCTTGTTTCCTAAACGTGCTTTGAATTTCTCGCCGTCAGAGTATGCAATATTGCGTCATTCCCTAACAAGTCTCCTTGCGCATCTAGGCTTTGAAGTGGGCTGCGTAAAGACGTATGATTAACTTACAGCGAACGCCGGCGCACAGATAGAGAAGCGCAGCTCGCTCCTTTATCCATCATATCGAAGCTTCACCGTCTTAAATTTATTTACTTACATTCGCACAATTTATTCAAGAATAAAACGTCATACTGGGTGAACATAAATAATCTAGGATCACCGGACATAAACACGCACTCACTCTTGATTATTTCTTTTAAGGCAACACTACTAATTTCATTCTGTTCATTTTTCCTTAATTATAATGTGAGTGAAATGCGCTAGACATCCCAACAGCGCTGAAAAAGACGGTATAATAGAACTGTCCGAGCTCATCATCACGAGTCAGGTCTGATGAATGGACAGTGCACAGGAGTTAGATGATTTGTGTCATCACATGGATTTCTAAATGAATAATCTGCTGCTTTTCCGACGCTGTAACCAATGTCTCTAACATATGATGTAACCTAAGTAAATATATGTGCGACTGACGCATATCTTTATGCTTAGCACGCACATTATTAGCGGCGTATCTATGTCATGTCACTTGCCCCACTGCGGTGGTCTAGGGTTAAGGCACTAGGCTGCTGACCCGCAGGTTCCGGGATTCTATCCCGGCTGCGGTGGCTGCATTTTCGATAGAGGCGAAAAGGCCTGTGTGCTCAGATATGGGTACACGTTAAAGAACCCCAGGTGATCGAAGAAGCCCTCTACTACTGCATTTCCAATATTGATAGGGTAGTTTTGGGACGTTAAACCCCACATATCAATCAAGTCAATCATGTCATGTCACTTTCGCATAAATTGTACCAACACTTGCACTGTAATATCTGCGTATCTTGTACTGTCGCTTTAAGTGTACCCGAGCCTGTAAATAGCCTGCTTGGAGTGGACAGTATACTAGAAAACAAATATATAAACGAATAAAAAGATAAATGGTAAATGTAAAAATTTATATCACTATTCCCGTCTACACCGTACTTTCTCGCGTATTGCCCGCCTGTGGACGTAACCCTGCAACCCCGACTACAAATCACAAAAGCTAGATAAACGTACAAAAAAGCGGCGTGGTGCCCAGAAGTACCCTTGCACATGCCGTCATGAGGGTGTAATGTAAATCCATCTTGCGCACTGAATTTCGAACATTGAATACAATAATTTCAATACAGCGCATGCATAAAATAATCCAAGATATTGTTGTGATTGTCTTCTTTATATACTCCTAATATTTATGCAGGTTCTACTGTAAATTCACTGCAGCACCACAGTAGCTTGTTTATCAATCCGCGAGATTGCGCAATGCGCCCTACACGTATCTAAAAGCGCAGTAAAAGGACGATGCACCACCTTTATTGAGTCACGTCGCTTCAAGAAAGCAGGCAGAGGATAAGCTGCATAGTGCCGCTAGAAAGTCTTTCACTTAGAGTGTGTGGTCGACGGTGGTTGCACCCTAATCTCTTGAGGGGATAACGAGATAAATTTTAGGCTTGCACATTTGGTAGTCTCACCAGAAAGTTTGGGCTGAAACCATAAACGGCAGGAAAGTTTGATTCGTTTGGTAATGTATCCGCGTTTTCTTAAAGAGTGAGCGGCTCTCCTTCATTCTTATGACACAATGTTTGGTTGTTGTTACATTTCTCTGCTATTGCATTTATCTCTGGTTGATCATGCCATTCTCAACTATTCATTTTCCATTTTCGTAGCTGGTAAAAATCTAGGCAAATGAATATTAGCTTTTCCAAGACTCGCATTATGTCATTTACCAGGCGTTCATGCCCGTTGACTTTTGACTATGGTTTTAACGACGTCAGTCTGTGTATGGTGTCAAAATATAAGTATCTTGGTATTCTTATGACACATAATTTATGATATTCTAAACATATTGATCACACATGCAACATAGCCCTTAAGAGTTTAGGTTATTTACATCGTACGCTCCGTCTTGCTCCTAAGGAAACAGAACTGCTTACCTACAAAACTCTCATTCGCCCCGTTCTTCAATATGGTTAGTGTGGTTTGGAACCCCCATAAGAATTGTGACTTTAACAAACTTCAATCTGTTCAAAAAAGAAACTTCAATTTGTTCAAAAAAGAGCCGTGCACTTTATATGCAAGAGATATGACAGGCATTTTTCTCCAACAAATTTTATTCATAGCTAGGGTTTCTACACTTGCGAAGTGTCGCCATGTTGAATGTCTAAAATTTTTGCACAACATAATCTATTTTTCTCGCTTAAGCACCCTAGAATCATACCTCAAACTTTTTCAGATCTTTGTCTATGAGGAGTAACCATGCTCTTAACATTGCAATTTTTTACACCACACTGTCACGTTCACATAAAGCTTCCTTTCAACTATAGAAGCCTGGAATATGCCGCCCGGAAGTGTTCGTTAGCTATCACTTCAAGAATTTTTGGAAGCCTGCTCATGAATGTGGATTTGCTCGACTTCTTTTTGTTTTTTGTTTTCACTCCTGCAATAGCCTCATTGAGGCTGCAGTATGGAAAAATAAATAAAATAAATAAAATTTGTTGCTTCGCCATCAGGGAAGAACTATCACCTTCTTTTGCCAGTGTTTTTTTACTGAAAAATTTTCTTTCTTTGAGTTGCATTCGTAATGAAGCACCCATTGATGATGCCTGATATGTCCCAATAAATAATGATGTTATTGCGGTATATCTAAGACGTGGGGTTTACAATATATTGAGGGTACGCTGACCGTGTCGTTCCCGAAAATTAGAAACACGTTTTTTTTTTAAGTTAGCCCTTAATTCGCTACCGCGCGTTGTCTCTAGTTCAGCATAAGTATTGACATGACACCTCTACGTAGGCTTCAGGAGCACTTGTCGTATTTAGAATAAAGCTAAATCTATGAAGCAGCACAGGAACGAAGAAAAGATGTCGGTCATAATCATGTTTTACTTCTTTTTCAGTTCTTGAACACAAATGAACCCATATGGACATACAACCCAACCATCAAATCGCACAACCATTGGTGTGTGGTAGATACGACAAAAGTGTTACAGGGAGAAAATATTAAGTACCAACATATGTACTACGTCAAGTTCCCTCTAAAGGATAAGTATGGAGAAAAATTACGAGGCGTTGCACTGCCCAGCTGATAGTCCTATCTCATTTGCAGGGTTTCCGTTGAAATGGAAGGTTCCTTTCAATACAAAAATAACTTGGTTACCAGCAAATGTGGTAATGAACACCATTTCATATTACTTCTTCAATTATATCTTATAATGATATGTGCTCCGTTTCACAAGCTCTTGGTGGCCCTGGCAGAGATAAAGCTCTCTCGTTCAGTCAAGGTTATCAAAGCATAGCAAATAGTTCCTCAAATAATTTAGCCTTCCTGGTATTTTTTTTGCGAGTTACAAAAATAAAAAGTGACAACGTGGTTAGAATTTTATTTCCAAGCGTGCTTCGTGTATTAGTCTCTAGAGAAATTACTAGAGAAAGCCCGCCTGAACGCATATTTGTGAAGACTTGTTGTGAGGTGGTGATGCACCGCCTTTTAGCAGCATGACGTTGCTTAAGTTATTGTGCCTCAACGATTATGAACAAAATTTATAATGCTAATTCAAAAAAAAGAAACTGGCTCGGTGACGTCACTTAAGTTGTTGTGGCTCTACAATGATGAACGAATTTATAATGCAAATTCAAAAAAAAAGAAACTGGCTGGGTCACTATTCCAGGATACCCAGGTCAAGCTCTGCGACAGCCCAGGCCAGCAGAACGAGCGCCCGGCAGCACTCGGGGGCACCGTCGCGAAGGTTGCCTTCCCACTGCTCTGGAGTACGGAATTGTAGGGAGGAGAGGGAAGTAGGCAGAGCGCACTATATATGGTAACGTGAAAAGTGGTGGAGATAGCGCCACAGCCTGGGCAGGCATGAGTACAATGAGTCGGGTATATTTTATCAGTGAACGGGAGCTTCGGGAGAGTCAGGTCTGCAGTCGGCAAAGTGTGACAGCCTCCTCGCGTGTCAAGGAGTCTGGTGGCAATTGGTATTGTGGTCATTGGCGTATGTAATGTTGTCAGACTTCGTGATATGATAGAAGGGGGGAACCTGGCTTTGTATTGGCCGCCTCACTGCGCGGGGCTTCTCGGAGGGTGGGTTCTCAAGCGGACGCATGAGCATGCTCATTAGCGGACAGTGGGACATGACCCAGAAGTGCAGAGCAAGTGTATGATGCGGTTGTTGTGTGAAGCAGCTTTGAATGTGCGTAAGAGAATAAATGAGAGGTTTCGGGAATGCCGCGACCTGTTAGGAAAGCCTGCCATGCCGTTTGCAAATCAATGAGTGTGTAATATGTTCCCGCGGGGTGGCTCAAGATGTGTTAGATTGCCGAGATCTTGCCCGAGTTGGTGGCTGAAGATGGAGAAGAGGTCAAAGCAGCACTTACGATTTCAGGAGTCCTCCACCGCTGTTGGTCCGTTTGTCGTGCGAGCCACGTCCGTGTAGTAGACCCTATTCTCCTTAACGTATCTGAGAATTCGACTCAGGTACCTCACCCGCGCCCTCCGACGATCGATGTTACGCTCAGAGTGCATGTAGCGTGGCAGAGTGTGTGTCTCTAAAAGAAGCTGCTCAAACTGGGGCTTGAGTTAGCCATTCATTGAATGTGCATGGTACTTACAAGCAATAAAATCAGATAGCCTTAAGTATTTAAAAAATCGCATTGAATGCGGAATCAAAGCAAATGTGGATTCACTTATCAAGAGGATGGCAAACCAGTGACTGATTCATTGATTCCTTTACTATTTGAAGAAATAAATCAATGAAATTTTGATTCAATGACTTAAGCAGATATTTTATAACCTTTATAACCCGATCGTATTAAGCCATCGCTACCAGACCTTGCACTCTTTTTGTGTATAAAATTTGAGTGGAAACCGGGCAATGCTGCCCCCCATGCTGTCAGAATGTGCCAACAATTCTCCTAAAGTCACACCACTCGCAATGTGCTTATAACGGTGGGCAGCACTAGCGGACAGAAAGCATTGATATAATTCGTTCTCCCCGCAGACTCGGCTGAGGAGGGCGAGAGGGATATTTTCCATCAGCGACGCTGCCGTTGCGAGGCGGCCTTCGAGATCTCTGAGCAGAATGATCACCTATAGGCGGTTCGACAGGCTCAGGGTGTGACTCAAGCATGCATAGGGACTCCAAGCTGGTTCCTTACGCCACCAAACCCAATCACATCACTCATTTATTGCCATAGTATTGTGCTGACTTTTACGTCCCAAAACAAACACATGATTATGAGTGACGCCGTAATGGAGCACTCCCCCATTTTCACCATCTGATGCTCTTTAACGTGCAAATACATCGCAAAGTAAATAGCCCTCTACCATGTCGCTTCCATTTATATGCGCCCGCAGCGACCGGGCTCGAACTCATGACCTTAGGGTCAACAGCTTAGCACCGTAACCATGGCGGAAGGAACCATATATGGCATCAATCATGAATAATGAACTTCAATCAGATCTCTAGTGATTTCATTAACCTATACAATCAGATAAGCACGTGTAAACTCACCGAAATGATGGCCTTATTCTCAAATTGTTCACGGAGTAGTGAAAGCCAACTCGTCTCAGCAATGGCTGAGCCAACTCGCCTGAGCGATGAACACCCTCTTTGTCCAGTGAAGGAGTGCACCGCTAACCCTTCGATGCCGGATGCCGCACTAGGCAGCCCACCAATACTTTGTAAGAAGATGCTATGTGAGTGTATTTCTTTTAAATGGACCATTGAACTGAAAGCAATTGGATATGATCAAATAATTTCTTGAAAGTTGCAATTGGGATCGCATATATTGACTATATTCTAGACTACCAAAGCCAGGCGCTGCGTATAGCCCTAATTTCCTCTACAATTCACCCTACGGTGTTTTTTTTTTGCGGCATAAAATTGCAACGAATATGAATGTCATTTACATTTGAGGAAACAGTTATTTGACATTCTTGCCAAGCAGCTTATGCTTTAGATTACGTAAAATAGGTGCTCTAGTGTTCTTCTTAATAAAAGCTCTGAATGCACAAAAGCCATCATGCAGATTACGTTTGAAATGAGCCAGAAGTCACTATGAAACATATATTATTCTTTGCGCCATCGCTCAATTTCTACGTACTTGTATAGGGCAGAGCAATCTAGGTGAGTAGGACAGCTATTTTGGAGTGAGTATGAGTTCACTTTTAATAACATTCCCATCGACCCATTTTGAAAATTCTGTATATTACAAAAAAACTAAAATGACTTCCTCCCCCTCTTTCAGGTTCGAAAGCGTTCTTTAAACACCATCTTGTATATCTTGATTCGGACTACGTGTGTGCAATCATCCGGGTTTCACCGATGTTTACCAGTAAACGTTAGTACGCAAGATTTCCTTTTCTATAAAATTTTAAAGTTAGGTGAAAGAGCAAGGTTTATAACGTTAAAACTATCAAACTAGAATATCATTACATTCTTCAAAAAGTCCATATAGTCGATAGGAGTTCTCAAACTTATGCAATAATTGAAACCCGCCAGAGTGAACGTATTTTAATTGTAATTGAATTGAATGGCTCCTGATGTTTATTTCGAACGTGGCGTATGACGGTATTAGTAAGCTGCCAGTCTTCTTTGTCCGCCACACACGAGCGCAAGCGTTTTATGGGGATACACACAGATCTCTGTAGATCAAAAGAAGCCCTACGCGTTGGGGACCCAGCTACATCCGGAAAATCTAATACCTATACCTGTTTCTATTGAGTATGTGTGCTATCAAACGTTACATTTTTTTCAAGCTAAGTGAATAAAAGATCTATGCGTTTGCAGAAATTTCAAAAGTATTCAAATAACGGGGTTTCGTTTTAAATCGACGCATTTTGCCTATAGAAGCAACTGTAGAAGCAACTTGGACAGCAAGAATACCGGTGCTTATATTATATTTGGTAATACATTGGCATCTGAAACGCATTTACCTATGTAAGCCCCTTGCAAAAACGGCGGCAACACTGGGCGGCGGCGTCCATAATGAAGGAAGAAACAACAGCAAAAAAAAAAATTCCGCCATATCCACGAAGTGAATGATGATGAGTGGGCGAAGCTCCGGAGGTAAACCTGGTAAACCATGAATCCTCTGTACATTTGCCCACTCGATTTTATTACATCGCTCCCCCTAGCGTACGTCGCCGCACTAAATCGAACGATTGCCTTCAACCAATGACACGCGCCATATGTGACATCATTCCTATTTTATAAGATCTCGCGTCTTTCATCAACTACAAGTACCGCTTTCTAGTTTATAACATCTTGCATCTTTTCATCACCAGCTACAAGTACCACCATCTAGTAAACACTACAAGAACTAACGAGAGGTGGCTACATACAGGAGACGGTACCGCCATCTAGTGAACAGTGCAAGAACTAAACTAGAGGTGGCTACATACAGGGGACGGTACCACCATCTAGTGAACACTGCAAGAACTAAACTAGAGGTGGCTACATACAGGCTACAGGGGACGCACAGCCCACGCCCTAAGGAGCTTCGCCCCTAAAAGCGTGCGTCCACCGGGCTCAGTTCTTTTCTATTCCGTCTTGTTATGACAGTAGCGTCCCACGCGATTCTACGCTGCAGTTCTAGCTGCAGTCGTAGGAGCTTTCTGCTTCGGTAAAACTCAACTATCTTGTTGTCGTTTAGAGGCGGAAGGCGTGAAGGATCACTTTTTTACCTGTTCGTGAGGAAAACAATCGCGAGAGACGCCGCTGCCATAACGAAGGCGGAATCGACAAGAACGGAGATGGTGGACGCCCGCTTTTTGTTGTCGTTTTTTCTTCCCTTACCATAAACACCGCGCCCAGCGTCACCATTGTTTTTGCAAGGCGTCTACTTATTGCGCGGCTTATGGAATAAGGTTTGTTTACCTGATGTAGTCTTTTCTTTTTCCCCGAATGTTCGCATGCAACATAAGCTTTGCGCAGTGTGAATGTTGTTGCTGCAGGTGCGCAGGCTTAGCGAAATAAGCCAACAACATTTAATGGTATGTCTGTCACTACCCTTCCTCGTGTTTCCCTTTGCATCCTTTTACTGTATTTAGACGTACATGAAATATACTAGCAAAGACTATATCTAGTAGGATAAAGATGAATGCTTATGCCTGTAAACCACTAGCAACCGTGAGCGAAAATGGTCGTAGTAATGACTGACGTAGTCAAAACACACGAGCAGTATAACTTCTTCCTAAATTTTTTTTCAAATAATTGTTAAATGCTATTGCTGGCCTACCACAAAGAGTAAGTTTATTTCCGCTGTTTAACTGCGCGTGTTTGTATTGCGTGTTTTTATGAACGAACCACAAATACCCCTTCTCCGTTCATGAACGCTATTACGACTAGGTCATGCTGATGTCGCTTACAGTATGAGTTTTCTAACTTTCTATCTGTCCCAGATTTACGAGAACGTTTGAATTTTGCAATATCGAAGCCGCACTGTTTCATTCAAGCTAGATACACTTCAAGTGCCTTTAGCAGAAACTGAGCGCAGACAGACAAAGCACGTAGCAGACTTCTCTCGCTACTGGCACTTGTCAAGAGCACAAATGTCCACACGTGAAACGCAGCATAGGTATTTGCTGGTTAGGCGCAGCATAGGTAAAAAAAATATTTTAGAAGATGATAGATAAAACACCTTCATACACAATACTTCAACACCAGAAGAGAACAGAACAACTCTCATAGAGGCACCTGAACTTGTCAAATACAATATAAAAATGTGCGAAGCCCTTGTCAAAATAACTGAAGCGATAACATCACGACGAGAGGACATTGTTGTGCCAACCCCTTTCGCGCAGTTTGCCATGATAAGACAAGCACATCACGTTCGAGCACATTAGTGGGCTCTTATAAATAATGCTGTTATTGAACTCACTAAAAATGAAAATTGTTTGCATAGATTTTTGCTAATTGTAACATGGCACAAAATATGATCCTGTTGGTGCCCATTTAACTTTTAATGTATACGTTGGTCCGCATTGGAGAACGCTTACACAGCATTGTTTTCTTTTTCCAGTGAAGCCTTGGTACGAGCTGCGAGTACGGAACCCGTTCCTTATAAGATATCGCCGTCCTTCGATCACTTGCCAACACTATTTCAACCTCGAAGCAAAGCAAGGACGTCTTATTTATAATCCTGCATGTCAGAAAATCATTTATCGAGCAAATCCAACCCAACAGAAAACAATGCCATTGCAGAAGCCAAATTTTTCGAACTCAAGCGTCTGAAATTCTAAAGATAGAGCGCAAGCATTCCTTTCATAAAAGGTTTGTTTAATTTTGCACACTGCATTCTTACTTTAGCCGCCTAGAGAGACAGTGGCGTAAAACTGTCTTCGCTGTGCACCTAAAGCATATGATTATACCACCGAGCGATATCACACACCTTTGCATGCATAAATACTATATACTACACCTATGGCTTCAAGTGAGAGCACAGCGTTGATTGCCAAGATATGAAAATACAAGGAGCATGCAGAAACTCGGAAGATCCCTCGGACCTTGAGAATCGATGTTATTCAAAGCATACAAATGAAAGGTGAAGGTTTTTGTTTTTTTATATGGCAAGGCGTTATGAAATGGTGCCAATATATGTGCCAATCTACGCGCACACATACGTTAACTAGAGTGGAAACTTGGGCAAGTTGGTAGGACATAACTGAATGTATGAACAGCGCAACCTAGAAGTAGTTACTTCGTAACTACTTTTCTGCGTGCGCTCTTTTCTGTCCTTGTTTTTTCGCTTTCGTAGTTACGAAGTAACTACTTCTAGGTCGCGTGATTCCTACATTTAGTTACGGTAAGCCGCCGCATATGTTTCATATCAGCAGTTGTTTACAGTTGCGTAACGATGCCAACAGAAACATGCATATTAGAAATACCAGAACTGGCAAGCTAATATGAAGCGCTAGTGTTTGCGCTGGTGCACGCGAGTATGGTAGCCCTCAAGAAAACTTCAGCGGATGGCGCCTAAATACAATTTTCGTTGACGCGACATCGCGGCTGTATCATGGTAGTACATATGTATCGATTATAAAGTTGGATAGTCATTACTGCAACCACAATGAACGTTACACGAACATTAGGATCTATTTGGAAAATATTCGAGACTGACGTGGCTCTGAGGTAGAATACTTCATTGCCACGCAGAATGCTAGCGTTGTATACTGCAGGAACAATTGCCATTTATTGCTTGGATTCGTCGTCAACGCTGCTTATGGCCGCATTTCTTAACGTTCCAGGGTTAAAGCTACTCATAGGTGTGCTCGCCGTTCTCTATCACCTGGGGCAAATAACCGCACTACCAGTAGCACATACCCGCTTCGGGAATGTGCCACTGTTTTTTGAATTTTTACGAAGATTGCGACATTATTATGTCATGACCAACGGTCGTAATCGTTAAATTATCTTCCCGTTCTGTACGAATTAGGTGTACGTCAATTTAGGGAGTGATCATGAGAGCACCCAGACGTAGCTGGATAGATAGATCGATAGTAGATAGATAGATAGATAGATAGATAGATAGAATAGATAGATAGATAGATAAGATAGATAGGAGACGTAGACAGATAGATAGTAGATAGTAGATAGATAGATAGATAGATAGATAGATAGATAGATAGATAGATAGATAGATAGATAGATAGATAGATAGATATAGATAGATAGATAGATAGATAGATAGATAGATAGATAGATATATAGATAGATAGATAGATAGATAGATAGATAGATAGATAGATAGATAGATAGATAGATAGATAGATAGATAGATAGATAGATAGATAGATAGATAGATAGATAGATAGATAGATTCTAAAAGGGCTGGCAGTATACACAAAAAAAAGTTTCGCATATAAAAAAGTTTTATAGCACGTTCACGTACATCATATGTTCACGTGGCGTTGACGGTGACAAGAGCGCACTGCAGCGCAGACAGATGAAACTTTTCGTAGGTTAATTGTACCGAGTAACAGAAATAACACTACAAGCGTCTGTAAAGTGGCAGGCATAGGCGTCAGTCGTCACTAGTCTGATCGTGGACAGAATGCGTCGACTTTTCTTCTAAAGTTATCGAATATTGCGTCAGATTCAGCATGAAATTGGTTATGTTTGTCCTGCGCGCAACTTTGTAGCAATGGCTACGACAATCGATATCTTCATTAATACTTGTTGCAGTTTTACAGCGCAGAACCATGATATGAGTATGAAGAACACCACAGTGAAGGGTTCCAAAATTTTTCCACCTCTATTTTTTTTTTATTCTCGACTCAAGATAAGCACATGGGCCTCCAGCATTATTCGTTCATCCGAAAGCCACAATAAAAGTTCATCACGCGACCCCCCACAATATTGTTGCCCGAGCAGACATTTGGTGAGTATAGCGTGATCATGAACCCTAGCCGACGGGCGGTTTCAAATTCCTCCCCCGCCATGACTTACGTGGCTTAGCCGTGTCCAGGGAAAATAAAACCCTGGTGGTAAGTCGACGATGATTGAACTTTTATGGCCCCCCGGCATAAGAAACACACCCCTTTAGCCCTATAGCGTCCCGCAGGCGGCACACCTGGGGCTGACGCACGAAGCCGAAATCGGCAGTCGCCCTTTCCTCTCTTTCTACCCAGATGATGATGATAATAATAATAATAATAATAATAATAATAATAATAATTGCCATCTTTGTGAGATACTGATGGGGGGATTGTAGAAAAAAAGCCATCTCCAGACAGCTTGACTAGCCTTTAACCCTATGTATTCGGCAGCGCCGCAATATTACATAAAAACATAATACATATTAATATCATTACATATATACTCCTGCACTGTTACATAATTATACAAACACAAAGCCACACACACACTCATATATATGTACAGGTGCATGCTACTGCTTTAACATATTTCAAAACACACTTTCCTCTCAAAAGGCAGCAAAATCAAAAACGTGTCTGTATTGCACATGAATCTATGCAGAAACCACATGCATCCTTTTAAGATCTTTGAAAGAGGCTGTAAAAAGATCAAACTGCATCGATTTATAGCTAGATCTTTGTCTTTCCCTTGTTTTTGATCTTTCTTGTCCTCTACCCTCCCCAAGTTCTAGTTTTCCTGGCCGCAAGGGTTAACGATGCGTATATACGCTTTCTCAGGCAGCATACATTAGGTCATAGATTGAGCTCCGTGTCTCCGGATGTCTGAAAAAATCCAATGGACACACGCTGTTAAAATGTCTGACCATTCAGGTTTATCGAATAAGCTCTCATCGTGAAAGGGCATTTTCTACGTTTGAAGGTCATATTTAAAGCTGGCAATCGTCGACCGGAGTTATCAGTCATCAACCTCTATTAGTGGCTATAACAACCAGCTTCGAGGGTGCAATATGCACCAACGCAGGTGTTTTGTAGTCAAGTGTTGCTGCTTGTACGTAGATGTGTTCGCACGTTCTATAGTCTTCCAGACATCTGAAGTGCACGTGATGTGTTCACATGTTTTCGCGTTCAGATATCATTTCATGCCACATTTTGTGTTATTATTATTTTTTTTATCAGCTCCTTCATTTTTCGTCAAAGGATGAGGGAGGTGGGGAGAAAAACCGGCGAAGCAGCTAGCTTGATAAGATCAAGCTCACCCCAAAAGTACACTTTGGTGAACTTACCCCTGTGCACATCACCAGCTTAAGTCTCCTAACAGTGAAAATTAACCAGTTAGCAAAAATAAAGGTCTTTAAAGACAGCACTATCTGCAACAAATCAACGTGCTTTAACAAAAAATAAATAACTAAGCAGAGATAGGAACATCCTATTATGCCTAATTAGACTCCTAATGTCAGAGAATTAAAGATTTAAGCGAAAGAAACTCCCACAAACACCGATGTTTATCTGTAAAAATAAACCCGGGAAAACACCTTCCCAATTTCAAGAAAATAAATTCCGGAACACGGAGACCACTTTATGGTGACCATGTACAGCAGGCATTTGTGCTTCTCTCGCGTGTAGCGGCGTCTTCTTATTGGACTCCGTGATGGGCGGCTGCACTCTAAGTCTAATTTGCTCGAGCAAGAGTAACCAAGGACTATAGCCGCGTGCGATGAACGAATGCGTCTCCGTTGAAAGAGCAACGGCAATGAAATGCGTGCCGTGTGCAAACCAGCCAGTCTGCCAAGAGATCAACCGCGCGGGAGATGCAGGCCATGTGTAGAGATACGTTCTGCGTGCAAACCGTTGTCGCAGGGTCCGACAGTCCTCCTCTCTCTTGCGTTAGCTGTCCCACTTGTGTCACGTCATGCACAAAAGTTTATTTCGAGGAGTAGGAAGCATGCCGCGGTGCCTTCAATAAGCACGTGGAGTCACCTGAATATTTCAAGGAGCCCTGCAACACCTTTTGAGCTTGCTCAGGAAATGCAAAACGATTGGTAGTCGAGCCTGTCGAGAACACGTGGGCCAAATAATATAACTCAGAACGTGGGGTAAAATTTAGAATAATTCTCAAAATCATTAGAGAATCGCTTTCTCTTTTCTCGAGAAATCCTGTTATATAGTGAAGAATTACTGCGGCACCGGACCATGTATCACGCCATCATCATTTTTTTTTTAGCAAGGTAGGCTCGGGAGTCACTGGGGCCGCCGTGGTAGGCTCGAAATAATCCCGCGTGCTCGCGTGACGTACCTTCTTCTCTCGTGCCATTCATCTCTGCTTTGCTTCTTGCGCTTTCGCCGGGCTGAGAGAAGAGAGAAAGCAATAAAAGTGTGGAGCAAATCTCTGTTACTCCACTTGTACTTGACGGATTCCAAAATTTTTGCGGGTGAAGCTCTCCTTAGTCTAACGTTGTCACGCGTCACACGCAACGGGCAGTATGCGAGACAGTGGTATTTGAAGTGTTCGGTAGACAGACAGACAGACAGACAGACAGACAGACAGACAGACAGACAGACAGACAGACAGACAGACAGAGGGGCGCATGGACCGACACACGGATGCACGGACGAGCAGACAGACAGACAGACACACGCGTGGACTAACGAACGCACGGGCAGACTGACGCACGAACGAACGCAAAGGTGGACCGACTGACGCAGGACGGACGCATGGATGAATGAATACAAAAACGAACGCACGAGCGGACGGACGGACG